GGGTGTTGTCTCTCCAGCTCATGGAAGAAATAAAAACAATTTTACCAACACACCATTGGTACTATACCAAAGCTACACGTACAGATATTCTGTGACCCAGCAAATCCACTCCTTGGTATATACTATACAGAAATGTGTATGTATGTTCACCAAAAGCTATGTACAAGAATGTTCACTGCCGTATTAATTATGACAGCTTCAAGCTAGAAATTCAATTAACCATAAATACAATTGATAAATACATTGTGTTACAAGGTCAGTCAGTGGTACTGTGGTTAAGGCAGCTGGATCCCACATAGCTAACTGTGCAGTTTGAGTCCTAGACCAGTGGTTTGAAAAACATGTTGAGTGCATGTGCATGCATACCCACAGTCCTGCAAGGAGAGTAGAGGAGGACTGCAATGTGGTGATCCCTTCTAGACAGAGGCAAGCACTGGTACCCTATATTAAAGAACAAAGTATGTTACATTCATTCAATGGAACTGGTAAGAATGAAAGAACTATTGTTACATGTGACAATCAAGATAAATCTTACAAACAAAATGGGAAAGGAGGCAAAATAACTATGCAATTCTTACATAAAGGCCAAAACAGGACAAATTAATTTCTGGTTATCAGAAATTAGGAAAGAGGTTATTTGATGGGGAGGGGAGTTAGTAACCACTGGATGAAAAACAAAGGAGAGTGAGGTGCTAATACTGCCCTTTATTTCAGTGTAAGTGTTGATTACATAATTGTATTTATTTTGTGACTTTTTATTAATAAAATGTTCGATTTGAAAGATGATGTCTCTTTCATAATTAGACATATACACACACACACAAAGAACTTTGACTTGAGCCTCACATCTTATACAAAAATGAAAATTAATAGATCTAAGTCACCGAGAAAGTCATGACGTATTTTCCTGATTTTCTATGCGAAAATGTGTCATGACTTTCCTGACAATCCAATAATTTCATAGAGACAGAAAAAAATCACGACCTGTGCTTAGGCAAAGTTCTTAGATAACCACAAAGGCACGATCTTAAAAAAAGTGAAAAATGGGACCAATAGGTGATGTGGTGGTTAAGCGGGTGGACTCCCACATGGCTGACTGCAGTTGAGTGCTAGACCTGGCAGCTTGCCCTCTCACTTTACTTCTTTCTCTAGCTCTCTGTCTCTCTCTGGTCAACTTCAAAAAAATAAAATAATGGGAACCAGCAGTTAGCGTAATGACTATATCGCTGGACTCCCACGTAGGTGACCGCGGTTCGCGTCCCGGACCTGGTGGCTTAAAACTCACACCAGGCGCATGTGCATGCATGCCCAAGATTCCGAGAGGAGAATGGAGGAGAAGGGATTGCGGCGTGGCCATCCTCCCTGGGAGGTAATTTCCTGCTTTCTGTCTCTCTGTCTCTCTCTGTCTGTCTGGCGAGCGCACACGCCCTATAGCGAAAATCTCTCAAAAAGGGTAAAAAATGACAAATGAAATCTTATCAAAAGTAACAACTTTGGGGCCAGCAGGTGGGGATTAAGGTGGCTAGATCTTAAAAGGCCTACTGTGCAGTTTGAGTCCTGAACCTGGCAGCTTGAAAAAAAACACACAGGGTGTGTGTACATGTAACCTCAAAATCCCAAGAAAATGAGAAAGAAGGGATGTAGCATGGCCTTCTCCCGTTCTCTACACAGTGGGTGATTTCTCACTTTCTCTCTCTCTCCAGCAAGTACACCTGCCATAAAGCAAAACTTAAAAAAAAAAAAAATACCCTTTGCTCTACAAAACCACTGCTAAGAAAATAAAAATACAAGTCACAGACTGGGAGAATAATATTTGCAGAGCATAAAAAGTTCATGGAAGGACCAGCAGTGGGCATAATGGCTATGTCACTGAACTCCCAAGTAGTCAACTACGGTTTAAGTCTTGGAACCAGTGACTTAAAACTCATGCCTGGTGTGTGTGCGTGCATGCCCAAGATCCTGAGAGGAGAATGGAGGAGAAGGGACTGCAGTGTGGCCATCCCCCCTGGGGGGGGGGTGATTTCTCGCTTTCTTTCTCTCTGTCTCTCTCTGTTTTTCTGGCAAGTGCACGTGCCCTATAGCAAAAACGTCTCCAAAACAAACAAACAAAAAAGGCCATAGAATATGCTTTATTATAAGACAAAAAATAAAAAAAACTATGCATGGATTTAAATTTTTCTTTTTATTCAATAAACTCATACTTAAATTCTATTTCCATAAACTTCTTTAAGTCCCCTGATATATCTGACAAAGAATTCATATCCAAAACACAATTCTTGGTTTAGAAAGTGTATTATTAATGATATGTTACTGCTAGGGGAAGTCAAGTGATGTGGACAGAGGACTTCTCTACTGTTGTTAAACCTTTTATGAGTCTGTCATTATTTCAAAACAAAGATTTCTAAAAAGAATGCTGAGAGTTTAATCTGCCAGACTGCCTATTTTCCCACATCTTTGGCTGGTATTCTAAGTACACTGTAATACAATATTAATAGAAGTATAACTGATATAACTTTTCTAGATAGTAATTTGGTTAAATCAATCAATGCTATTAAATTGTACAAACCTTTGATCAAGTCCCAGACCTGGTGGCTTACTTTCTCATTTTCCCTTTCTCTCTGTCTCTGGTCAAATTAAAATAAATAAATAAAATAATCAGAGATATATACAAAAATCTGCATACAATGATAGTTTTTTTCTTTATAATAGTAAAAATAACTGGGAAAAAACTTAAAAATTGGAAATGTGGGGGACTATTAGTATGTTATGACATACCTATAGGATACAATACAAAAGAATCATAAAAAATTAAGCCATAGAAGAATATTTATTGACATGGGAAAATGTTAACAATATACTTCTATATGAAATATGTAGAATACAAATAGTATATACAATTTAATACCATTATTGTGGAAAGAAAAATAGCCATATATACAAAAGCATGCATAAGAAAAAAAAATAAAAAGATGTCCATACCAAAATGTTATTTTTGAATAGTTGAATTAGAGGTGACTATGCAGTTTTCTCAATAAGTTTCACCTTTTCACCAAATAATATCTGCTTCATGTTACTCTTTCTTGATTGTGATTCATTTAATGTAATTCTCTTCAAACAAGCTCTGTTTTATGAGCTCCAAAACACATTTTTGATGCAGTAACTACTATTCTCATTTTAAAAATAGATGCTACTTGATTTTATATACTGGCATATGTAGAATAACTTTAATTATTCGAATATACCATAAAATATAACACAGAATAAATCTGGCTATAAAAAATTATTATTTAGAGAATGGGAAAATCCTATAATCCTGTATTAAAGAGAAAATTTTAAGAGAGGAAAAAAAGGTACTAACATCAGTTAGAGTTTCCATAATGGTAAAGTGTGAAATAACTCAGAATTCAGAATTGGAAATTTTGGATCTCTCCTTCTTACTAGTTAATTGACTTTCAGTAAAAGAAATTATATATATATATATTATTATTATTATTTTGAGAGAGATATTTACTATAGGGTGTGTGTGCTTGCTAGAAAGACAGAGAGACTTAAACAGACAAGAAAGTGAGAAATCACTACCTCCGGGGGGATAGCCACACCACAATCCCTTCTCTTCCACTCTCCTCTCAGGATTTTGGGCAGGCACGCACAAGCGCCTGGCATGAGTTTCAAGCCACTGGGTCCAAGACTTGAACCACAGTGAACAAAATGGGAGTCCTGTAACTTAACCATTACACCATCTGATGATCCCAGAAATTAGATTTTCAAATCAGTATAATATAGTTAACAATAAGCAAAAGTACACTTTATTAAATAAGCAAAAATGAGAGCATAGCCAATATAAGGTGCTCTATTTTTTGTATAAACCTTATTAAGTGTTAGATAAAACAGCAAGAAAGAAATGCAAATTTGGTGTTCCAGTAAAATGAACTTATATTTATTTTACTGCAGTACCAAATTCCTAATGTTTTAAATCTCTTTTCATAGGTTTGACATGTTAAAATTGGAAAACTGTTCATTACTTGATGGTCTCTAACTTCCTTAAATACATTTATAACAAATATATCAATTTCTGTCTCAGAATCCATCCAATAGCATAAAGCTATTTACTAGATTCTTATTAAAAATACCAAGTAAGTATGTTGGATCTTATAGGTAAGCCATCAGAGAAAAGAGAAAATTAACCATCTGTCCAATTTGCTGCTACTTCCTATACTCTAGCACCATTCCAGAGTTGCTTCTAATTTCTATCCCTAGGAGATAAAGGAATCCCAGGCAAATCTGTGATCAAATAATAACTTTTAACAATTAATACCTGAAAGAGTTTATGACTTGTTATAGTTCAAAAGTGTTGTACTGTCAAAATGTCTAAAAATAACTTGCAGATGGGAGACTAGCAGATGGGGTAATGGCTATGTCACTGTACTCACAGGTAGCCAACCATGGTTTGAGTCCTGGACCCGGTGCCTTAAACTCACGCTGGGCGCGTGGCCGTGCGTGCAAGCCCAAGATCCCAAGAGGAGAACAGAGGAGAAGGGACCAAGGCATGGCCAATCCCCCTGGAGGGTAATTTCTCGCTTTCTGTCTCTCTGTCCCTCTCTTTTTGGTGAGTGCACACAACCTATAGCAAAAACCTCTCCAAAATAAATAAATAAATAAATAACTTGCAGATGAAAGAAAAAACTCATAAATAATGATAAAAAGGATAATTTGATAAGAATGGAAAAAAGATTTTTGTTTTCCTACTCAAAATGTTTGTTCTTTCTCTCCACAAAACTGAGGAAGTTGGCTGGAGTGCAGATGGGAAGCATCCATCAAATTTATGTAACTACAGAACATATTCCTGTCCCACACCAGTATCATTCTACCACCTCTATTTCATTTTATAAATGTCCCATTAATCACAGCATGGCTTCTAGTATAGTTCTAATTTTTCAATGACAATCACAAGAAAAGTACTTCTAGGTTGCCGGAAAAAAACAGAATATTACACCAACACATTTCAGGGGCAGAAGAAGCCTATTGACACTCCATGTTTATTGTTTTACAAGAATTAAAAGAAAAAAAAAAAAAGGCAGACACTGGAAAATCACTTTTAAAAATTTCACAATCACCAATTTGTGAAAGAAATTGAGGCAAAACACTTCTGCTAACAAGTATGTTAGATAAATGATCACCTTAGCATATAACGAAAGATGGATACTCCTGGATTTCACTTAATCCATTACTTAATGATGAATACTACAAAATGAAAGGTGACACACTCCTGAACTCAAATCATAAAAAGAAACTTTCTAAGCTCAATCTTCAAGAAGTTCTTTTTCCAATAAGCTATAAAGAGCAGTAAAATGCAATATTCATCTAACAAAACGAGAATCCCAATGACAAGAAATCAGAAACTTATATTCCTCTAGAGACATTTCTTCCCCACCTAACAAAGGCACTTGACACATACTGAAATGGACAGTTAATTCAGGTACTGCCCTGGGCAACTGTTACCTTCCTAAAATTAGATGAGGGGTGATTAAGTTCAAATTAGTTCTTCTGAATAAGCCTGAAACATACATGAATATATCATAAGTTCTCTATTTTTGGCAGATGATATGACTAAAGAAGAAAAGATAATGTTGATGCCTACGATGAATTGGCTGACTTGAGCGGTCAAGGATACTCTCTCAGTACAATAGATTTCTTGATGACTACAGAGTGTGTATATAATTATAGGCAAATTAACCTTTCATGTAGTTTCAAGTATTAATGTTCACTCCTTTTCTTGTCTTTTCTTACTTTTTTGTTCTTCCCCAAAGTCTTAGATGATTCGTCCTGAAAAAGACACAAATCAGTTTACTATCATCCCATTTATATGAAGATGGAACATTAAGCTTAACTACATAGACTATATGAGGAGTCTTCAAAAAGGTTCGTGGATAATATATATTGTGAAAAAATTTGCATGGATTTATCTATTTCTTGCACTACAATAAAGCTGTACTTTAATTCCATTTTCCTACAAACTTTTTGATAAACCCTTATATATAATGATGAGGATACAATCACATCCACATGGATCATCCTTGTGTTTTACAAGGCACTGTACTTAGTCTATTATAATATTTTCTAAACAAGGAATAATCAGGGAACAGTGGTTAGCATAATGGCTATGTCGCTGAACTCCCACGTAGTCGACCGTGGTTTGAGTCCCAGACCTGGTGACTTAAATTCACACCAGGCACGTGTGCATTAGTGCCCAAGATCCCGAGAGGAGAATAGAGGAGAAGGTATTGCGATGTGGCCATCCCCCATGGGGGGTGATTTCTCACTCTCTGTCTCTCTGGTGAGCTCACGTACCCTGTAGCAAAAAAAAAAAAAAAACTCTCAAAAAGAAAAAAAAATCAAGGAATAATCAAGGAAAAGATTTATTTACCTATTAGATCTGTTTAAATAGCTTAAATATTATTTAATATATCATCCAAAGGCAATAAAGTTTATATAAAACAAATATAAACAAACTTAAAATATGAAAGAAACTCAAAGTACAAAGGAAGAAAGCATCTAAAGGTATATAAGGAGAAGGGGAAATGCTTTGACACTGATAGGAAATTTTAGAATTTTACAGGTGTTTAAGGAACATCTAGTCCAGTTTGACATTAGCTACAATCTCTTAGGCTTTGACTATAGGAGGTAGAAACTATTAGGTTGTCAAGAAAGTCATGACATATTTTTTTCTATGCAAAAATATGTCATGGCAACCCAAGAGTGAGTCTTTAAAAATGTTTCTAATTATAAAACTCTACAAAGATATGAAATCAAGGTTTGAAAAAATGAAGTGATCTGCCCAAGGTCACATGATGGCCAGCCACATGTTTTGAATAGAGACTATCTCAACTTCTTAGTCCAAAAGTATTACTAATGCACTGCTCTCATTCTAATTCGCTCTTTTTACTATTATTATTATTTAACTTTACTTATTTATTTTTAATTTGACTGAGAGAGTGAGAGCACGTGCACACATGAGAGAGAGAGAGAGAGAGAGAGAAAGTGAGAAAGCAAGCCATCAGCTCCAGAACGCGAACCGTAATCAGCCATGAGGGAGTTCAGCGCCCCTCCTCCCCACCACACCACCTGCCAGCTCCCTGATTCATTCATAATTTTATTTTTTGTTTTATTGCACAGGCAGTGATAAGAAAAGTCTAAATATAATATCAATAGCCACTTACAGGTGAATGTGTATAGTTCTTCTCCACTAGTATGTTCCTGGCACAGTTGTTGATATGTTTAAACCGATCTGGTCCTAGCAGAATCCCTCCATACCAGCGTGATACCACCACCATGACATTCCTCACATTCAAAATCTGTTGTTTTGAGAGGTATAATTAGATACACAGATATACATATACAAGTGTGAGTTTTAAAGGAGAATGAAATAATTCTATGTAAAACTGCACATAAAATTTCCCAGTGACTTTAATAGCAGAATCATATGAATATGCACTGAGTGAGATTAGTAACAATGCAGGGGATGGAATATTAGAATAAAAGGGATATAGAAAACTAACTCTGTGTTCCAGAGTCCTCACATTCTAAATTTGGGGCAATTGGGCAGAGTGAAGGGGAGACCATGCAGGTAAAATTCCAGTTCTTGACTGCAATCAGAATAGCTCAGATTAGGCAGCCTTTAGCACTAGGCCAAACACCACCACCACCCTGTCTCTGAACAAACACCAGAGAAAAGAGGGGCTGCAGAGAGTAATACCCTGTGCCTACTATTGGGTCATTGGAAAAGTCATGAAGTATTTTTGCATAGAAAAACAGAAAAATACATCCTGACGTTTCCAACAACCCAATAATAAGGTCTTCATGAATTTGGCAATTGTTATGTGCTGCCTTTAAAGTGAAGCCCATTTGTCTACAGAACTGATCCACATAGTTCCTGCTCAAGAGGAAGGCCTAGTTAGAAACCAAACTTCCACATACAATACCAGAAGAAACTACTGTAACTACCTTAGGAAAAAAACAATCCATTCTTAAAATTAATGGATAATCAATGATCACCAGACAGATGAAGAAAATCCAGCAGCATGAAAGAGAAAGAACAAGATAAAGAAACCAAAATGGACCAGGAAAAATTTAAGGGTGACAACATCTAAAATATGAAACTCTAATTAACTGTCTCAGAAATATTTTAGAAGACATTGTACCCATAAAACTAGAACAGGATACTATGAAAAGGAAAAACAAAGGACAAGAAAGCTCTTAAAAATGAAAATATATGGATTCTAAAAAAAAAAAAAATTAAAAATTTAATAGAAATTTGGGGAGATAATCAAGAAAATGTCTCAGAACATAAGGACAATGCAATGGACTACTTAATAAAAAACATAAACATTCTGGATCTGTCCAGAAGTTCCAATATCTAATTAATAGGAGTTCTACAAAAATAGAACAGAAAGAGGAGAGAAAACTGTCAAAAACAAATTTTCCCAAAGTTGAAGACAATTTTCTATCGCCTAAGTCTTAAAGGACAGCACTTGTTATTAACAATTCACTCTGTCTTATATCCAGTGATTAAAATGTTTATCAATGTTTAATAATTAACTACTAATTAGATCAAATGAATCTTATATAGATTGATTAATTTACTTATTTCTATATGCAATTTTGTTTTGTTGAGAAATTTTATGGCTCATATCAAATAGGATTAGCAGTTTTAATTCACACCTACCTCCATAAGATGCAAAAGACGCCCACCAGCTGCTGTTTCCCCATCATCCTCACAGTCCTGCAAGAAGGTCTGTTTATCCTCACAATATATTCTGAAAAATACATATAACAATATCACACTTTGAAACTTTAAACTACTCTAATATAAGTTACTCCTCAATACTTGTGGGAATGAAGTTGATTACTTTGCAAACCAGCATGAAGCACTGGTTTAAAAAAACCCTTCATGAACTAGATATTAGATATATGTTCACTACTAACTTACTATCCACTATACTTTTTATTTGAAAAGCTAGAAATCAAAGGTGTGTACTGGATCCCACATGACTGACTGCACAGCTTGAATTCCAGACCTGCTGACTTGAAAAACATGCTGGGTGTGTGTGCATGAATGCCCAAAACCCTGAGAGGAAAATGGAAAATGGATTGCAGCACGATGGTCATCCATCTGGAGGTGGGAAGTGCTTTCTCCCTTTTTCTCTCTGGTAAGCACACATATCCTATAACAAAATTTTTAAAAGAGAGAGAGAAAATATACTATACTGAAGCATAACAATAGGCACTATAAAACATAAAAGAAGTGGCTTACTCTTATCTTCAAAGAGTCTAAGAGCTAGTGAAAGAAACAAATAGTATATATATATAAAAGGGCAACAGAACCAATATAAGTTAATATTTTATCCTTTCTTCTCATTTTATTCTAGCCATTAAGCATTTCTCTCTACTTTTCTCATTCTGAGTAAGAACGAAAATTTCTTTTTTTCTTTAGAATTTTCCCCTGGATGGTTATCAATATTAGAGATAAATCATGGTATTTCATCCATTTGAATTATCTAGAAAGTTAGTATTTAGAGTAACAATGTAGCAGAGTAAACTTGACAAATGAATGCTAGGGACTGGAAAAAAAAAAAAATCAGTGCCAGTTAAGGTGTGCCATCTAGTGGATTTCTTAGACTTCTACAATGGTTTCAAGTGAAACTGGGGAAATGTGGTCAAGATAGTCTTCTAGCTAACAGTCATAAGAAACTGAAAACCTTTTATGTAAATATGAATAGGTGTAAAAATTCATCTACACACACCTAAGTCAACTATTTTTTAAGTGTATTATCTTATAGCATGGCAGTCATATTCTTTCATTCATTCATCCTTCCTTCCATCCATCCCTCTATTCACTCATCCATTCATTTGAACACTTAATAAATATTTATAGAGGCGCTATTATTTTTCAGTTGACCTCATTTGAGTAAAAGTTAGTACTATTAAACACAATATTGTATATCAAATTAAAGGCAAAAATGAGACATGAGTTGGCTTATTTCAGGCTTCTGATTACAAGAGGGTTTTCAAAAAGTTTATAGAAAACAAATACGAAAAATTAAATGTGACCTCCAAAAATTCTGAACCAAAATAACTCATACATTAACTTAATTTTTTTTAAATGTTTCTAAAATATCCTTGTATAATCCAACACCACAATTTTATGGAATAAAAAAGACTTGACAATATAAATCAGTAATATTAATTTTTTAAAAAGACCCCATGGAAATTTTCACTAACCCTTTTCCTTACATACCAGAAAAATACTGATGCAGCATCAAATAGCTACACATTCGAGTAGCCTGGAGTGTCCCCTAACTCCAGAGAAGAAACAGCCCTAGCACCAGCACCAGGAAGTAACTAAAAGGACCCTAAGCATTCAAATTATACATCACATAATTCATCTACTAAATAAATGTGAATTTATTTTACTCCCAGAGGCATCCCGGGAGCCTCCACGTGTGTCTTTTTTAGTCTTTCCTGACAACACACAATTCTGAAAAACAAAGTAAGCTCTTTCTTTCCAAGCATCAATTATGTATATAAAAGGGAGGGCAAAAAGGAGGGGCTGCTACTCACTAATGTTGACATCAGCTGATCACTTATTAATATGGACAACAAGGAAAAACTACACAAATGCTTATTAAAAGTCCCAAAATCTGGGGTCTAAAAAACAATAACCAGCACATCATTTAACTTTTTTTTTTTGATAACTTATAGTCAACATTATATACAAGACTGTTGAAGGTATAGATATATAGCCATGAAGAAGTGAAATAAAGGGATAATTAAATCATATTATCAAGTTGAGCTCTATCACTTAACAACTATAGGATCCTGAAAACGTTTACCATTTCACAGTGGCAGAATGACTGAAATAATCAGAATTAATTTACATAGAATGTTGGCAGAGAGTGGACACACAATAAACCTGTGAAATGAATAAATTATAATTTTTAATATTTTTAGAGGACACTGAGAATAGTCTAATTGTTCACTTTGGTACTGTGGCCCTAACTTAGGAAAATATTAAAATTCTGTCTGGCAACATTCTGTTTAGAAAAGAATTACGTAAGCAATAGTTTTTGTTTTTGCTTTCAAAGTTTATTTTTATTTCATCTCTTCCATGAGAGAGAAAAAAACAGGCTCCAATGACTTGGTCTCAGTATGCCTCCACCTCTCCCACTTGCTAGGATCACAGGTATCCAGTGTGTTTCAGGCCAACCATGATCTAAACCATGGTTTTCCATGTGGCTCCAGCACTGGAGAGCAGTGCCCTACCGCCTGCACAACTGTGCCTGGGCCAGAAATGGTCTTCTGTACACTTTGGCACTAAAAGAGACACTAACTTAGGAATATTGTAAGCTTGCCTATCCTAAATTATAAATTTGTTTTATCTGTATTTCAGAGAGTATCTAACTTACACAGAGTCTCAATTTCATTGTAAATTTGCACCAAGTCTCTATGTCTATATTCTGATTTGAGGCCTAAACTATGTTCTTTAATGTTTAACTAATTTGCATTTTTTAAATTTTTGGGGGGAGGTTTTTGCTATAGGGCACGTGCACTCGCCAGACAGAGACAGAGACAGAGAGAGACAGAAAGTGAGAAATCAGCCCCCGGGGAGGATGGCCACACCGCAACCCCTTCTCCTCCATTCTCCTCTCGGGATCTTGGGCACGCATGCACATGCGCCCGGCATGAGTTTAAGCCACCGGGTCCGGGATTCAAATTGCAGTTGACTACATGGGAGTCCAGCGACATAGCCATTACGCTAACTGCTGGTCCCAATTTGCACTTTTTTTGGGGGGGGGAGAGGTTTTTGATAAGGGCACGTGCACTTGCCAGAAAGACAGAGAGAAACAGAGACAGAAAAGGAGAAATCATACCCCCGGGGAATGGCAATCCCTTCTCCTCCATTCTCCTCTCGCGATCTAGGGCATGCACGCACACGCGCCCTGTGTGAGTTTAAGCCACTGGGTCCAAGACTCGAACTGCAGTAGAGTACATGAGAGTCCAGTGACAGCATTACGCCAACTGCTGGTCCCTAATTTGCATGTTTTTAAAAGTATGACCTTATAGATCAGCAAAGATTTGTATAAAACCTTTATATTCAGCTGGCGTAGTGGTATAACATGATACTCTGTTAGGCAATCTCACAAGGACAGGCTTCTGGTTCAAGTCCAGAGCCTCCCTGAACATGCTGAGCATGTGCTTGTCCATGATCCCTGAGCTGGCCAAAGGCAAGAGGAGACTGTGGTATCAAGATCCTGTTGAGAGTGCTATCTCAGTCTCTCTCCCACTCTCTCTCTCTCTCTCTCTCTCACTTATGGAACAAATAAAGTTAAAAACAAAACAAAACCCTAGTACTGAAAACTTAAAGGCACATAGTAAAAATAGTACTCTTCTTTAAATGTTGACAAGAACATAAAGTGACTTTAAACACCTTCAGAAAAAATTTGGCAGTATAAAGCAAGTTTCAAAACTGTTCACTCTTTTTGGGACCAGCATTTAGTGTAACGGCTATGTCGCAGAACTCCCATGTAGTCGACCGTGGTCTGAGTCCAGGACCGGGTGGCTTAAACTCACGGAGGGTGCATGTGCGTGGATGCTCAAGATCCCGAGAGGAGAATGGAGGAGAAGGGATTGCGGCAACCCCCCCCGGGGGGGGTGATTTCTTGCTTTCTATTTCTGTTTCTCTCTGTATTTCTGGCAAGTGCACGCACCCTATAGCAAAAAACTCTCCAAAAAAAGAAAAAATGTTCACTCTTTTTGATAATTCTACTTCTAAAAATTTGTTCTTTCTTTTAGTTATACACCATTTTACTTAGGAAACATCTGAAGCAACCAGAGCTTTCTCTGAGAAAATAATCTATAAGAAGTATGTAAAAATGCTCAGTGGAATATTCTATATAATAGTGAAAAATATGAAAACTATAACAAATAGAAAATGGTTTAAGAAAATTGTGGTACAAAAAAATAAAATTTTAAAAAGTAGTATTTTAATAGTATTTTCATAATATTTTATTAAGGGCCAGCCAGTAGTGTGTCAGTTAAGATGGCTGGATCTCACATGGCAAACTGTGTGGTTCAAGTCCCAGGCCAGGCAGCTTGAAAACTACAGGGCACATATGCGTGCATGCCCAAAATCCCAAGAGGAAAATGGAGGAGAAGAATGTTTTCCCAATCCTCCTCTCCCTCTCTTTCTTTCTATATATCTCTCTGGTGAGCACAAAGAACCTGTGACAAATTTCAAAAATAAATAAATTGGGACCAGCAGTTGGTGTAATGGCTATGTTGTTGGACTCCCTTGTGGTCAACTACAGTTCGAGTCCCAGACCCAGTGGCTTAAACTCACGCCAGGCACATGTGCATGCGTGCCCCCAAGATCCCAAGAGGACAATGGAGGAGAAGGGATTGCAGAATGGTCATCTCCCCTGGGGGGTGATTTCTCACTTTCTGTCTCTGTCTCTCTGTCTTTCTGGCAAGAAAATGTGCCCTATAGCAAAAACCTCTCCTAATTAATTAAGAAATAAATAGGCTATGAATGATATAAATGTGAAGCACTGAAAAATAGTAAACTTTGCATAGAAAAGGCAGGAAATATATCAAAATATTATCAGTTACATTTAATGGCAGAAAATGTCTGACTTTTCAGTCCAATTTGTTTTCTTTTTTGCAGTTTCCAGTGATTCTACATCTATTAATATTAAAATAGAAAAAACATAAAAATTCGTATTTTTAGAAATCATACATCATTTCCCCCTCATTATTTATAAGCTGCATACTCGAAAAAACAGGGATGATCACTCACCTGTAGGCATAGATGTTGTGGGTGGCACTAGCTATTTTCTTATTCTCATACAATTTGGCAAGAACCATTTTCACCTTAAAAACACAGTAACATACAAATAACATATGCTTCTATTTGCTTTATAAATAACTACCTTAAAACATATTGACATGAATGCCATATTAAAAATAATTATTTAAAGGTATACTAGACTCTGAAAAAGCTATTTTCAAAGTTTTCTCCTTATCCTAGGGCCACTGGTATAAAAATGACAAACCTAGTATTGTTGAACACTAATTTTCAATAAATATTTGGATGCTAGCTATATCTAAGACCCCTTCCTATAATATTAAAAATTTTTCCCATGCAGAAAATTGTAAAAGTAAACATGGGTTGGCCCTGTAGCATAACAGGAGGGCACAGAGGAAGACGATTCCTACACAGCCCTCAAGGGTTCAAGTCCCAGTCTGGCAGCTTAAACAACAAAAGAGGCATGCACACACAGGCCCAGGATCCAAACAGCATGGAGAACTGGAAGAAAAGGACTAGGGAGAGACTAGGCACCCTTAGGGATTGCTCTCTCTGTTCATATGAATGCACCCTGTGGTGTTAAAAAAAGAATGTAAATGTAAGAATTTCTAGAAGTTATCTCTGAAATTTACCTAACATATACTTGCAATGTGGTAGGCATACAATAACAGTATGTTTCAAATGTCATGAAACCAAAACTTTCTCTGGAAGTTAAGAAAGGTTCATAGAGGTCACATGAGCCACATCTTATAAGTGGCAGTTCTACATCAAAAGGGAAAAGGGGAAGCAGGGCAGGAAAAAAAACATTCTACTCACAGGAGACAGCATGTACAAATGCAAGGACTAGAATAACCAGATTGAGCAAATTAAAATAAAAGATACCCAGTTAATCTGAATTTCAGATAAACAACAAATTTTTTAATATAAGTATATCCCATGCAATAATGTTTACCTGATATTCAAATATTAACTAAGTGTCCTGTGTTTTATCTGGCAACCTTAGCAGGAACATAAAAAAAGAAGTTGTAAAGACATTAGTGTTTAAAATCTGTAGTAAATAGTAAGACTTTTATTATTGTTATTTTTAACTTGATAGGTGGTATTGAAATTGCCTTAAACATCAATGAAGTTTAAGCTGGGATAGCTTATAGAAACAAAGAACCAGATGTTTCTGATGAAAAGAGAGAAAGACAAAGACCAAGTAATTTAGTCTCTGGCTGAAAATTTTCCCATGTCTATCCTTGGGTGGGAAAAAGGTCACCTAGAATCAAGAAGCAAAAAGGAAAACGTATTTAAGTAGGAATGACTGGGCTCAGTCTGTCCTCGGTCCCTTTTGTTAGGCAACAGTAAAGTGGACTTAATTTTACAGTACTGCCACTCAATAGGACAAATAATTCCTTTTAACAAGCTATTAAGTATCATAATTTTTCAAATTAACGTAAAGGTTTTTCTTAGTTAAAGATACATTAGAGAGTTAAGCCCTAATCATTGTTGATAAAATTCTGAAAGCACTGAGAATAGGAAACAAAACCTTCCATGATTCACAGTACTTTGGGAAGAGGAAAATAAGCAAGTAATTTTTATTTCATATAAAATTAAACACAAGAGGGATCAGCAGATGGTGTAATGGTTACATCGCTAGACTCCCACAGCTGACTGTGGTTCAAGTCCTGCACCCAGTGGCTTAAAACTCACACATGTGAAGAAAAAAAAAAAATTAACACACGTGTATATGCATACATGTCCAAAACCCCAAGAGGAAAATGGAGAAGGGATGGCTGCATGGCCATCCCCCCCAGGGGGTGATTTCTTGCTTTCTGTCTCTCTCTGGTGAGTACACATGACCTAGAACAAAAATTTCTCTTACAAAAAAGAAAATCAAACACGAGTAAAAATAGATATCACTGCAAAATAATTTACTTAAATTATTCTGGTAAAACATCAAAGTGAATTAGACTAACTTTAATGGTAATTTTACCTGTTTGGGACAAACCACTGGAGCCAAGTGTGCCTGAAAAGTACTTCTTCGGTCCGTAATAGGAATACCATGATCAATTGGAGGTAATTCTTCTATTTCTATAAATTTAAAGAATTAATTCACTTTATTTTTTAAAAATAGTCTTATGTCCAAATACTGAAATATTAGCAGTAGCAGGGAGTTGGGAAAGAAATGTAAATTCCAAAGACCAGCAGGTGGCATAGTGGATACATCACCGGACTCACATAGTCCACACCATGGGAGTCCTGGACCTGGTGGCATAAATCTCACGCCAGGCATGTGTGCATGCATGCCCAAGATCCTGAGAGGAGAATAAGGAGAAGGGATTGTGGTGTGGCCATGCCCCCTGTGGGGTGATTTCTCACTTTCTGTCTTTCTGTCTCTCTGGTGAGCTCATGCACCCTGTAGCAAAAATCTCTCTTAAAAAAAAAAAAATGTAAATTACATGGGAAATCAGATTAAGTGGTGATTAATAGCTGTCTAACAAAATTAAATTCAGGGCTGGCCCATAGCTTAGTGGTTACAGGAGTTGGATACCACAAAGACAGCTCCACAGTACAAGTTTCAGACCCATTAGCTTAAAAAACACCACACGTGCCCAAAATCCCAACTGGATGAAGGAATGCAGAAGGGACTGTGATGTGACATTCCTTGTGTGGGGTATTCCCTTTCTCTCTCTCTGACTAGCATACACGATCTCTGACAAATATTTTTTAATTAATTTAAATTATAAATTTAAGTAAAAATGTTTAAATACATTATATGTAAGATAAATATACTTGACTTATAAATGATTTTCACCTGCTAAGGTCATGAAGTAGAAGAGGTAGGTTGCAATGAAACCCTGGAATGCTGCAACAGTAACAATATCTTGGTACAATATCTAATGCAATCACTAACTTGAAGAGTGTAAAAGGGTCCTGAGATCCAAGACCGACTGCTGCTAATATATTACAGTTCATTTATCCATTCTACTATTAATAAACCTCTCAGTGGGAAAACTGAGAGACTTTATATTATATTGCCATCACATAATGTATTCATGTGATAAAATAATAAAACTGTTCCTACTTCACATTATGGAATTAAATATATCAATAATATACCCAACAGGTTTTCTATAAAGAGTATGATTTCCTCGGGACCAGCAGTTAGTGTAATGGCTATGTGGCTGGACTCCCACGTAGTCGACCACGGTTCGAGTCCCAGACCCAGTGGCTTAAACTCACGCCGAGTACATGTGCGTGCATGCCCAAGATCCCAAGAGGAGAATGGAGGAGAAGGGATTGCGGCATGGCCATCCCCCCTGGGGGGGTGATTTCCTGCTTTCTGTCTCTCTGTCTCTCTCTGTCTGTCTGGCGAGCGCACGTGCCCTATAGCAAAAACCTCTCCAAAAAAATTAAAAAAAAAAAAAAAAGAATATGATTTCCAGTTAATCTGCCATTTAAGTAAGTCTAAGAATCACTAACTTACCCTTAACTCTATCTAAAACTTAACAATTCTGGCTGCTGCTACCTGCCTCCTTTAGATGAGAAGTTATATTAAATCTATAAATCTATATCAAATTCAGAAAAATGTAAATGATTAAGATAGGATCTACTTCGGTGGAAGCAAAAGTAAGAGCTCTGGATCCTGTCCCTGACTCTTCTATTTCCTACTTATCTCTTCCCATTAAATCTTGGCACACCATTCAAAAAACCTAAATTTCCAAAATACTGTTTAAAAGCTACTATAAAATGGCAAAGGAAACTCTTTACCTTCAAATAGAATGAATATTCCTTTTGGCCCATCATGTTTCTGTAAGACACTTAGGGAAACTGACAACACCTAAAATTCTTAAATACTAAAATGGAATATACCATTTTACAGAACAGATAACTGATTTTATCACATCAATCCATCTGCGAGTTGAATACTCCTTGATTATGGAACAAATCTGCTTAAACAAAAACTAAACCTTTGAAGGCATTGTACTAATTTTATTTCTGTGGCTATACTTAACATTATTTTTACATTTGTGAGAATAGACTCAAATTTAACACTGAAATATCAGGAGATTGTTGGTATTTCAAAGCAGAAATATAAAAACAGGATGTAAATTGAAAATAACAGCCTTTCTTAGCTTCAATTTCTCCCATACTTCAGGGAGTAGCAAACATATATATTTTTTTTTCCCTCACTATTGTGATAATGATCAACAGGTAGAGAAAAAAATAACAATCTCAATTCTGTGCAAATTAATAACATTACTAACATCTGAGTTTACTAAATTTGTATACCATCCCAAGGACAAATAATACTAGTGCCAGTCTCCAGATACAAAAAAAAAAAAAAAAAAAAAGGTAACATTATACCTGTTTGATTTTCACTGATACCAAAATCCAGTGCTTTAACCGGGTTTTCTGGCTGACATGCTAAAATGAGATGATCTTCACATCCATCGTCATCCCCTTTAGTTTTCTTCTTTACATCTGGACCTATGTGGATATAAGACAGTTGGACTGATCTATGAATCAAGTAAGAATTTTTTTTTCTTATTTTTTTTTACATTCAATCACAGTGTATCATTAGAGCATACCAAGTAAATTATTCCACCTGAGTATACTGTGTATTGGTTCAATCAAAGATATTACCATACATATTATCATCAACAGATATTTTTCCATTTTGTATCCCTTAAATGTTCTGCTTCTTTCTTTCTCCCTGATTCCCTCTCTCTCATTTCCCACCCTTCTCTCACACAGTCTCTAGTATCCACAATTGTTCTGTTCTCATGGTTTTTATACCTTCAGTCTTTCATTTTCTGCTATAAAGTACAGACATTTGGTATTTATTAAGTGGGGAAATATAATGTCTCTCTTTCATAATCTGGCTTGCTTTGCTTAGCATTAAATATTCCATATTCATTTTTCTCATATACCAGAGTAATTTTTTTTTAAGGGCTGAGTAGTATTCCATAGTGTGTATGTGCCACACTTTTTCAATTCATTCATCTGTTTGTGAACATTTGGATTGGTTCTGTATCTTAGTTATTATGAATAATGCTTTAATAAAAATGGATATGCAAGTGTTTTTTCAACTGAGTGCACCACTATCTTTAGGGTAGATATACAGTAGAACTGTCGGATCATATACTAGTTCTATTTGTAGGTCTTTGAGGAACCTCCATATTGTTCTCCACAGTGGCTGTACTATTTTACATTCCCAAGAACAGTATAGGAGGGTTTCCTTTTCTCCACAGTCTCACCAGCACTTATCATTCTTTATCTTTTTAATCTTAGCTATTCTAATGGGTTAAGTGGCATCTCATTGTGGTTTTGATTTGCATCTCCCTTATGATAAAGGATGTTGAGCATTTTTTCATATGCTTTTTGTCTGTTTGTATATCTTCTTTGGAGAGTGGTCTGCTTAGCTCAGTTGCCCATCTTTTTAATTGGACTGAATTTTTTTTTTTTTTTTTTGTGGGCAAGTTGCTTGAGTTCCTTGTATATATTGTTTATCCATCCCTTACCTGAAGGAGAGTTTGCAAATATATTCTTCCATTCCAAGGGTTGTGTCTTCACTCTAATTGTTGTTTCTTTTGCTCTGTAGAAGGATTTTTAACCTGATATAATACCACTTGCATATGTTTTGGATTATTGCTTTGGGTGTTTTATTTAAGAAGTCTTTGCCTATTCCAGGGACTAGCAGATTGTATAATGGTTACATAACTGGATTCCCACATAGTTGACTGCAGTTCAAGACCCAGAACTGACAGCTTAAAAAACTCACACCAGAAGTGTGTGTGTGTGCATACTCAAAATCCTGAGAGTATTAGGAGAAAGGATTATAGTGTGGCCATCCCCACCAGGGTTTTATTTCTTACTTTCTGTTTCTGGAGAGCACATTTGCCCTATAGCAAAAAATATCTCTCTAAAACACACACACAAACACACACACACACACACACACACACACACACGTTTTTGCCTACCAATGTCTCCAGGAGTTTGCCCTGTGTTTTTCACCAGTAGTTTTATAGTTTGAGGTCTTACGTTTATATCTTTGATCCATTTTGAATTGACTTTTGTTAATGGTGAGAGATAGGGGTCCAGCTTCATTTTTGTGTAGGTGGATATCCAGTTTTTCCAGCACTATTTGCTAAAGAGATTTTATTTTACTCAATGAATTGTATTGTATCCTTTGTCAAAAATCAAAGGCTGCATGTTTGGGGTTTATTTCTGGAGTCTCTATTCTGGTCCATTGATCTACATGCCTGTTATTGTAGCAGTACCATGCTGTTGTGATTATCACAGCTCTGAAATATGTTCGAGTCAGGGAGTGAGATCTCTCCTACTCCACTCTTTTTGTGCAGTACTGCTTGGGGATACAGGGTCTTTCTGATTCCAGACAAATTTTATGATTATTTTCCCTAAATCTGTAAAGAATATCTCTGGTAATTTGATCAGGATTGCATCAAATTTTAGATTATTTTGGGTAGAATTGACATTTTGATTATATTAATTTGTCTAATACAAAAATATGGGATGTTTTCCACCTTTTTGTGTCATTTTTTTATTTCTTTTTTTTTTTAGTCCTTTTTTAGTTTTTCTTAGTTTTCCTTGTAGAAGTTTTGGAACTTCTCTGATTAAGCTTATTCCTAGGTAGCTATTATTTTTTGTGCCTATTATAAATGTAATTACTTTCAATTCTACCTCAGTCCATTTATTGTTAATGTATAGAAGTGCTATAGATTTTTGTATGTTGATTTTTGTATCCTGTCACTTTTACTGTATTCATTTATTACTTCCAGTTTTTTGTTTTGCATTTGCTATAGGGTGCGTGCGCTCACCAGAAAGAGAGAGAGAGACAGAGACAGAAAGCAAGAAATCACCCCCCGGGGGGGATGGCCACGCCGCAATCCCTTCTCCTCCATTCTCCTCTCAGGATCTTGGGCACGCATGCACATGCGCCTGGCATGAATTTAAGTCGCTGGGTCCAAAACTCAAACTGCGGTCTACTACATGGGAGTCCAGCAACATAGCCATTATGCTAACTGCTGGTTGCTACTTCCAGTTTTTGTTTCTGTTTTGTAGGATTCTTTTTGGTTTTCTATATATATAAAATCATGTCATCTGCAAATAGAGATAATTTCACATCTTCTGTCGCTATTCAAATACCTTTTATTTTATTCTCTTGTCTGATTGCATTGGCTAGGACTTCCAGTATCAAGAAAGAAGTGATAAAAGTAGTTAAAAAATCATTGGGTCTTGGTCTCTAAATACCATTTATCAACAGAAAGAACCAGGGCTCCTAAGAGAAGTGGTTGATTCTAGGATTGGAGCAAGAAAAATATAAGATGAACCTGGAATGCTGTGGCTCCAGAAAGCATGAAATGCTCAAAAAAGATGGAGGCGTATAAAAGAACTCAGGAGCCAAACTGAAGGAGTTTGACCATTAGGTCAAATCACCATTAGACAAATATCACAGTAATAAATACTGCTGAGAAGATCTACTGATGAATACTAAAATAAGTGGGTAAAAGTTTAAGGAGGAAAAGGATACTGACTTAGCCTCAAACTATTTTTCCCAATATAATATAAAGGGAAACTAACCATCATAGTTACTATGATGGTTAGTTCTACATGTCAACTTGGCTAGGCCACAGTACCCAGATAATTGGCTGAATACTATTCTAGGTGTTTCTGCCAAGGTATTTTTGGGGATGAGATTGACATTTAAATCAGTTGACTTTGAGTAGAGCTGATTCTCCTCTATAGCATGGTGGGCCTCATCCAATCAGCTAAAGGTCTTAATAGAAAAAGACTGACTTCCCCAGATAAAACGGCATTTTTCCAGTTGACTACCTTTGAACTCAACCTGCAATATCAATTCTTTCTTGGGTCACTACCCTGCTAGTCTACCCTGAAGATTTTTGACTTGCCAGTCTCCACAACCTGGTAAGCCAATTCATTAAAATAATTATATTCATCCATCCACCCATCTTTTTTTCCCTCTTTCTCTACACATACACACACACAATAAGTTCTGCTTTTCTATAGACCCTTAACAAATACAGTAACTTAACAGTGTTGGCATATTATACAAACCACCTTAACCAAGGGATCACTCCTAAGACACACTAGGGCAGCCCAGTAGTGTGGGGACATGCGCTGAGCAACCACCACATGCTCTTTTGGGGTTTGGCAGAACCTTGTAACTTGTCTTTCCCTGACCTTGGCTGCAGACAGAGCAAGGGTGGAAATTACTAGGGGCATTCCAACAGACACATCTGATGGACTTCAAGAAACATCTTGACCCCAATTAGTAAAGTCCAATCCCTGCTCTGCATCTGAAAGGTTCTTTAGCCTACTCTGGGTGTGGTGGTGCACTCCTTATGGAGAAGTTCTTTAGCTCCTTCCCCATACCTAACAGCTAGTTCTCTGCATTAGAAAGGAAGATGAGATTTGCTCTAGATGGGATTACCACCAAGGGATACACCTTGCCTCGGGTATGACTAATCCCTTATAGATTTGTTAACTGCTTCTTATTGTCCGTAACCTGGCAACTAATCCATGAAGTGTCACGAAACATACATGTGTAATGTCTCCTTGTACTATAAATAAAGACGTCCAGTTTGTCTGGGCGGCACAGGTTGCTTGGGCTACCTAGGCTCAGGCTGCCTGTGTCCATTTCCACTCTATCTTTTTGTCTCATCTTTTCTGCTTCTTCCATAATAGCGCTAAGCGTGGGGGCGGACGCCGACACAGTAGTATAGCAATTAAGCCCAACACATGGGAAGCTAGATACTACATCATTGACTGGCCTCAAGTCCTAACTTTATCAGCTTCACATTTAAAGTGTACATGCCCTGAATGCTGACAGGATGAAGGAAAAAGTATTATAGTATGACCATTACACACTACAGAGTTCTCTCACTCTCTTTTTTGTAAATACACACACCTGTTTGAATTTAAAAAAAATTAAAGACATTAATATTGAACTCCTTAAAACAATGCACTATGAACAATACAATATCGACGCCAGCAGGTGGCATGGTGATTAAGGCAATGGACTCCCACATGGCAAACCATGGTTTGAGTTCTGAACCTGACAGTTTGCTTTCTCACTTTCTTTTTTTCTCACTTTCTCACTCACTCTGTGTCTCTCCCTGGTGAGCTAACATGCCCTGTAGTGAATTAAAAATAAAAATGATGATGATAAATAAAATTAAATAATTATTTTTTAAAAATGAACACCATATCATTTTTGTGGTGTTCTTGTCAAAAATAGTGAATCTTGCTCCAATTGTAAGAAAACATTGGACAAACTAAAACTAAGGGGCACTCTACAAAATAACTGAGTAGCACTATTCAAAAGTAACAAGGTTATAAAAGTCATTGAAAAACTAATGAACTTTTTATAGACTAGAGAAGTGTAAAGAGAAATAACAATTAAATGCAATGTAGTATCCTAGACAGGCTCCCTTAACAGCACAAAGGACAGAATAGAAAAACTGGTAAAAATTGACTAAGCTCCTTCGTTTAGTTAATAATACTGAAGAAGTGTGAACTTCCTATTCTTGATAATTATACTATGGCTATGTATGATGTTAAAAGGGAGTCAGAATGAATAAAAGATACAAAGATACAAAAATTTAAAATGTCTATACTAAAATAAATAAATAGATAAATAAATAAACAAATAATTTGTACTGGGCTCAGCCCATGGAGGAGTGGTTAAGGCAGCCGGCCAACTGCACTACTGGAATCCCATACCCAGCTGCTTGAGAAACATATCAGGCATGTGGGTATGTGTGCCAAAATCCTGAAAGATAAAAGAAACGGAGAGGAGACAGACCATTCCCTATGGGAGGTGTTTTCTCACTTTCCTTCTCTCTTTGTCTCTTTTCAGTGAGTACACATGCACTCTTGCAAATTGGGGGAAAAAAAAAAAAAGAAAGATGTCAAGTAGGGGCTCTGAAGAAAAAAATTCTCATGAGATAGCCTGATCACTAGCACTTAATCTTGCTAGTTCTTCAGAATTATTAATCCTTCCATTTTAATATGAAGTCTGCAAAAATAATTTTTGAATTTTTTCCTTATTATTACAGAGAAAGAAATCCAAACAAAATTCTAAAAATTGTATACCCTTGATTAGACACTGTGTACAGGCTTTGAAAAGCCATACTGTACTCTACGAAGAAGAACAATGATTATATATAAGCTGGAAATAAAAAAAATTATTTTAGTTTCTAATAATTCAAATCAATAATAAAAATTTGAAGGATAGGTAAACTATATTATGAACATAGGTGAGCAAGAGAAAAAAAATTATTTTTATTTTTATTTTTGCCATAGGGTACATGCATTTGCCAAAGAAAGATGGAGAGAGGGAAAGTGGGAAATCACTCCCCAAGGGGAGCTAGTCATAGCACAATCCCTTCTCCTCCATTTTCTTCTTGGGACTTTGGGCACACATGCCTGGCATGATTTTTCAAGCTGCTGGATCTTGGATTTGACCACACTCTGTTGGAGAGGGTGCTTTTTTACACACTCTCTCTGGCAAGCACATGTATCTTCTACAATAAAAGAAGAGAAGAGTAAGCAATTGTGGCATATAAACTACATCTCAATTTTTAAAAATCAATTCTTCAAAGTTAATTTCTTAACATTGGTCACTGAACTTTCCGTAGCTTTTTTTTTCTATCAACAGTTGACTCATTTGAAGCTAATATCTTATTTATATAGTTAATAATTCATGATGAACAACCATGAAGTTCACAGTGCCTTAATGGTGGCCAAAGAAAAGACTTGGGAATCAAGTTCTTTTATCAGAAAATTCTATTTCTTTAAGAATATAATATGAAACCAAAGAGGCTAAACCTTCTAGAAAACAGTAACCATAGAAATGAATAAATGAATTTTCCAGATGAAGGTTACCATTTTATCACATATAAACCATAAATCATGTCAAATTCCAATTAGAGTATTTACATTAAAATGTAATTACTGTAAGTTAAAAGAACACTGACAGTATCTGTCAACCCTACCTGGTTCTGACATCTGAGATTTCTTTATTAGGACATCTCTTATTTTCTCCACCCACAGGTAAAGAATACTTTCACCAATGTTTTGTCTAGACAAAATTTAAGAAAAAAAAAAGTGTTATTTCAAAATATTCAAGAAAATATATACTCTAAGACATTATATACACTCTAACAATGCCTTTACAAAAGAACATTTGTAAAGGTGGCATGGTGATTAAGGTGCTGGATTCCCACAAGGCCAACCACAGTTTGAGTCCCAGACCCAGGGGCTAAAAATATCACACCTGGCACATGTGCCTGCATGCACAAAATCTCAAAGGGAGAAGGGATTGCAACATGGCTATCATCCTGAGGGGTTCAGGAGTAACTTCTCACTTTCCCTCTCTGTGTCTCTTTCTAGTGAGTGCACACATAATATGGCAAAAAACTTAAATAATAATAATAAAAGTAATAAAAATATGAGATTACCAACATTTGTATAAGTATTTATTATAGATTATTTATATCAACATTAAAATTCCTACTAGCTTTGAAATTAATAGGATTTACTTAAAATAGGTATGAGAATTTTAATTATAGAGGAGAAAGAAATTTTCTAATTGAACTGGATGAACTAGATAGACATAAGTGTGAGTTAGTTTTTGTCAGTAGGTAAGTATTGATGTCCAATCACTGCTTACTTTTCTAACCTTTTTTGGAGAGACAGTCTTGCAATGCAGCCCAGGCTGGCCTCAAACTCTCAATTCTCCTGCTTCAGCCTCCAGAGTAGCTGGGATTACAGCCACTACACTTAGCCCATGCCTTTCTAAACTTTGTGAGCAATTTCACATTGCTTATTTGGTACACTTCTCAGTTTATTTATTTCAAAAAAGAATGCAAGGCATGTGGGGAACTCCTTTAGGGAGTCAGTTTACAAGACCTAAAAGACAATTAATTCAATAATTTTACATTTGTACCTTTTTTCTACAAAATATTCTATTACCTAAAATAGATTCATTTCGGTTCCAAATAATGTTCAGCTGCCTCAGAAAATTAAATCCATCTCAAGAATGTGTCACGGATTTTAAAGTCATGTCCATAGTTATGTTAAATGATGGCAATAGCAGTTAAATAAAGGCCCAAATGTCTACTCTTTAAAGAACAACATTAATTTTTAAATAAGTCTTGGTATATTTTGCAAGAAATCACCATGCTATTTCATAGCACTATCTTACCTCCTTTTCTTTTTTCTTTTTTTTTTTGAGAGGTTTTCCCTATAGGGCACGTGCGCTCGCCAGACAGACAGAGAGAGACATAGAGACAGAAAGCGAGAAATCACCCCCCAGGGGGGATGGCCATGCCGCAATCCCTTCTCCTTCATTCTCCTCTCGGGATCTTGGGCACACATGCACACGCGTCCGGCGTGAGTTCTAAGTCACCGGGTCCGGGACGCGAACCGCAGTCTACTACGTGGGAATCCAGCGACATAGCCATTACACCAACCGCTGGTTCCCTTACCTCCTTCTTCTTAAAGTCCACCTTGAAACAATTATCTGTCTTATCTCCACTCATCAAAATCATCATTCATCACCAAAGGAAACTTCCAAAACAAGAATACAGAAAACAAAACTGCTTTCAAATAATTCTGTACCCTCAAATCTTCCTCATCTCACCTATAACCCTTACCACTATGACAATCTTATAGATATTTTTTCATGGCTTTCTTTTTAAAGAACATGAAAGTCAACTGAAAGATTTTTAAAAATTGAGACTGTTAGTGAATTTCTTTTTCTTTTCTTTTCTTTTTTTTTTTTTTGAGAGGTTTTTCCTATAGGGCATGTGCGCTCGCCAGATAGAGAGAGACAGAGAGACAGAAAGCAAGAAATCAATCCCAGGGGGATGGCCACGCTGCAATCCCTTCTCCTCCATTCTCCTCTCGGGATCTTGGGCACGCACGCACACATGCCCGGCATGAGTTTTAAGCCACCAGGTCCGGGACGCTAACCGTGGTCGACTACATGGGAGTCCAGCGACATAGCTATTACGCTAACTGCTGGTCCCAGTGAATTTCTTTTAAACAATTCTCTCTTCTCATTAAGACTGATGGTAAGAGACAGTGCAAGGTTAAATGTATTGAGCATATAAGCCCCAAGTACATTACATGCTACAGGAATTCAAAAAGTTCATGGAAAAAAGGAATTAAAGAATGTATTTATTCTCGTATAAAAATATTTTGAAATTCATGCAGTTTTTCATAATATGCATTTTTTTATGAGCTTCCTAAAGATCCCTCACATATCAACCCATTTAATTCTCACAGGTGTCCAAAAAAGTTGGTATTACTTCCTTATTATACACATGAGATAATAAACATACATAGAGATCAATTAACTTGTTCAAGATAGTCGGTCTTAGAAACAGTAAGAAGCCCAGAGCTAGAATATGAACCCAACTCTAAAAGCTATGATCTTTGGCAAATAAGCCACTTGAACTCTAAGTCTCAGTTTCCTCATCTATCAAACAAGAAATATAAAGCATTTTGTATCTAAAAGTCTACAATTCTTGGTTATAAGAAATAAGCATTCTGGAAACAAGCTTTTCTTAAAATTAGAAAAAAGCTAAAATTTGCACAAGTGTTTCTTTTCACAGTAATAAATAATAGAGTCCCTTTTTCACTATCCTAATAAATTTATGGTTTTGTATGTAATTCTCTTGACTTCCCAATCTCATTCTACGGAATTTCTCATAACACCATTGCCCTAAGTACTGGTTTTAACAGTCAGCATTTACTGAACACTTACTTTATAAAAGACCTATAGAAAATGCTTTATTTGCATCACCTCCACTAATTCTTACAACTACCTAAGGCAAGAAAAACATCCCCCTATAAATATACATTCACATTCAGTCTTTTTTTTTTTTAGAAAATCACACCTCAGAAAAAAATTTGTAATTAATAAATAATTCTGCTACAATAATTAAATGTTGACTCCAGATTTCTTTTTCCCAGGACCATGTCTTACTGTAGAGAAACATACAACAGTACTTCTAAATTTAACTTCACTTACTGAACACTACCTTCTTCACTAGCATTAACAAGACAATTACTGAAGTCCAGTATAAGAAAGTCATAGTGAGTATAAGGGTTTCCTGAGTAAAACTGAAAATCATTCTTTCCCCTGAACTCTAACAGTCTATCACTAAAAATGGTGGAGGTTTCTTTTCTCAGTTAATTACTGTTGTCACAGTTGTATTTATGTTTTTCTTGTGACAATAGTTTATTCAGATCTTTTAACTATCCACTTGAATATGGTGTGATTCTTACAAAAAAAAGTCACTTTCAAACTATTGCTACTGTTGTAATGAATCAGAATTCTGCTTTTGCAGAATCAGAAGCAAATGAAACACACAGAATCTCAGAGTCTTGTCTGCTGAGCCTTTCCTCCTCTCCCCTAAATAGTCTCAGAGTCTGCTAAATCCTAAGGGCTATGGAACATCTGAGAACTAATCACTATAGAATGAAACACTAGGCTTTTATCTACAAAATCCAAAGTCACTAAGTATGAAAGCCTGACACAACATTTGTTTCCACCTGAATAAAAGAGCAATTTAATTAATATCTGATATTTTTTATCTATCTTGTGAATAACTATACTTAAATAATGATCCTATCTAAAATGATCAAAACAAAGTCAAGTTACTTTTGACTCTAATTTTACTATGGCTCTAATTTCTAGTTTCCCATTTTCCAATAAGTTTGCTGACTGAAGAGTAAAGTTATTCACTAAAAGAACTAGTAACCTCTGTGACCTTAAACAAATCACTTAATCAAAGTCATCTCAAATTTTATTCAAATTATTCAATAAGATGATTACTCAAGTCCAGTATAAGGAAAGTCTGAAAAAGTATATATAAAAAGTTTCTTAAGTAAAAGTTATTTTATGAAAATGGTAAAATTGTGTGAAAAGTGATTATTTCAATAAAGAATAAAAATGATAGCTGCTACTATGTGCTAAAATAAGTCTATTCTATGGATTACATCATTTAATCCTTAGAATTGTATTATCTCCATTTTATAGCTGAGAAAATAGATACGAGAGGTCATACAATTTCTTTTTTAAAAAATTATTTTTAAGAATTATTTTTTATTTAACTTTATTTATTCATTTAATTTGACCAGAGAGGGAAA